ATTCTTGGTGGATTTTGATGAAACTTGACATAAGTGTTTGTTATCAACGAAGGATAAACCCTATCAAAAATTGAAAAATATTTAGTATGAGTTATTGCCCTTGTTCTTGAAAACGCGTTCAATTTGTAGCTCGTAAACACTCTAGAAGGCACAATTCTTGATGGATTTTGATGAAACTTGGCATGAGTGTTTGTTATCACCCAAGGATGAACCCTATTGAAAATCAGAAGAATCGAAAAATATTAAGTATGAGTTATTGCCCTTGCTATTAAAAACCTGTTCAAATTTTAGCACGTAGTCACTTTGATGAAACTCGGTGTGAATGTTCGTAATCACCCAAGGATGAACCCTATTGAAAATCAGAAGAATTGAAAAATATTTAGTATGGGTTATTGCCCTTGTTCTTGAAACCGCTTTCAAATTTAGCTCTTAAACACTAAAAGGCATGATTCTTTCTGGAGTTTGACTAAACTTGGTTTTATTATTCAGTCCCGTGCTGAAGATTGAATATTTGCCTTCTAGAGTTTTCACAAGCTAAAGATTGAACATGTTTTCAAGAACAAGGGAAATAACTCATTCTCAATATTATTCGGTATCGCCCTAAAGAGTTCAAAAGAAGTGTATGACTGAAGGTTGAATATTTCATACTGGTGATTGTTGTTACTGTACTGCTAAATATTTATGTTCAAAATCAAAGCTGCCAGTGGGGGTATATTACCTTGCCTGGCAAGCTATCTTAAGTAAAGTAACAGAAACTATCCCTCGGTGGTTTTAAAAATTTGCAATTTGGAGAATGGATTCCGACTCCTGTTTGCAAAAAGGCACACACAGTAGTGAAATTTTGAGTACTTCACAATTGAAGAAAGCATTTAGTTGTGAGGGAATCATGAAGAATCACGAACATGAAATCTTTCAGACAGTTGGTTAATTTTCCAGAGGTTAAATCTGAAAATATTCTGCCAAAGTTGATATGAGGATATTGCCGGAAGACCCGGATTTTGATCCGCTTCGTAACCAAAACTTTTGCGTATGAGTCCTTTACGCTTTAAATTTTCTCCCAATTTAGATCCAGTTTTTAAAAGTTAGAATGAAATTCACGATAGTGTGTTGGAACTGTAAATGTGCTTACAGGATAGTTTCTGTTGGTGTTTAGGGCCCTCAGGGTGGTCCCTAGCCAATAAAATAGACGGGATATCCAGGGGTGCCTGCTCTCGCCCATGGCCCAAACTACTTGTTGTAAGTCCATAGCCTGGAGCTTGTAGTTTATTTCACATATATGTTGCCCAAGTACCAGACCTGAGACAGAATAAAGGTGTTGATGATATGGTTTGTTTCTCTCAATGTCAAGGATCGGTCTTTCCATTTGATAAGTTCTTTTTTTAAAAAACAGTAGATTACCAGGTTCCAGTTGAGATTGTGGGTATCGGGGCCAAACATTATTCCAAATTATTTGATATGAGGTTTGATGTAGAGTAATAGTTTAGCTGGTACGTGGGCATACATGTTAGAATTTAAGTTTTTGTATCATAAATTTTGCTGCCAGATGCTTGTTGGAAATTTTGGAGTTGTTGAGCCAAAGGATTGAAGGAATTTTCATTAGTTAAGATTGCTGTAAGATTGTTTGCATGTTGGATGGTTTTCACTTGGTGGGGGTAATTAGGAATGTTTATGCCCACAATATCCATGGCGATATTGTGGGCAAGTGGGTGTATTGTAGAACACTGTCAGATCAGAATTTTACAGTATTTTAACCCAGTTTAAGATGGGAGCTTGGAACTGTAGATGTTCTTGTAACGTCATCAGGTTGCCCCTATGGAGCCTATCAAAGGCTCTTTCCTGGTCGTAGACCTTCTTTCTGAAGGTAGCCCTCAGTTCTTTCTGATTGACATATTTCAGGATACTATCACTAGAGAGCAGATTGTTCAGGATATTCTTATCCTTCCCCCTTTTGAGCATACAATAAGTATAAGTTATTGCCCTTGTTCTTGAAAACGCATTCAAAAACACTCTAGAAAGGACAATTCTTGATGGATTTTAACAAAACTTGGCATGAGTGTTCGTAAACACCCAAGGATGAACCCTATTGAAAATCAGAAGAATTTTTAGTATGAGTTATTGCCCTTGTTCTTGAAAAGGCTTTAAAATTTAGCTCTTAAACACTAAAAGGCATGATTCTTTCTGGATTTTGACAAAACTTGGTTTTATTATTCAGCCATGTGCTGAAGATTGAATATTTGCCTTTTAGAGTTTTCACAAGCTAAAAAAATTGAACACGTTTTCAAGAACAAGGGCAATAACTCATACTCAATATTATTCAGTATCGCCCTAAAGACTTAAAAAGAAGTGTATGACTGAAGGTTGAATATTTCATACTAGTGATTGTTATTTTTTATTCAAAATCAGAGCTGCCAGTGGGCGTATATTACCTTGCCTGGCAATCTATTTTTAGTTGTGTTTTTGAGCCTTTATTTTTATAATTCATAGTTAGAATAGATGTTTTCATGGTAGGGGTCAGATTGTTGGAAAAATAAACATTGTTGATGGAAAAGATCATCTTGAAGGATGTCCCAAATTCGGAATTCCATCAATCACAGGGGATTTGTTGTTTTGGAACTCTGAAAGAGCTTTATGAATTTCAGATTTATAATGAGAATTTTCTTTAGTGAATCAATCTCTGCTGATGGTATAGGCTGGAGATTGGATTGGTTGAGGTAATCCCCAATTACCCAATCAGAGATCGGGTCCTCAGTGTAAAGGTCCTTAGTGAGGTGGCTTAGCACGATTTTTCAGGATTAATGTTACTGGCCGGACAAAAGTACCAAATTTTGCATGGAGTTTCTTTAGACCTAGAAAGTGGAACCCACTTTACCGGTTCAGATTTTACAAGATGGCCGCCAAAATCAAAGATGACCGCCAGAAAAGATGGAAATATCATATATCCGACTGTGAAAATCGGAAATGAACGAATGAGGTGTCAATTTTGTTTTTTTCAGGGTCACTGAAACAGATACTGGTCATGACATTTTCACATGGTCACCAATTCCAAAAAAGAAAATACACATGTTTACAATTACTTAATGTTATAGTATTGAGAAATTCTATATATAATATGACAATACAATGTAGATGAATCTTATCTATAGGAACATTTGCACCAACAAAGCGATGTGCAAGACAGATTTGCCTTACTGCATTTGCAGACTGTATACATGCCTTTTTGCAGCCACATTTTATAAATTCTCTACATGCTTTGGACACCCTGGAATGGTAGACCAGACAGGTTCCCATGAGTTTTCAACTTTCACCCTTGCAAGGTCGGTCGGACATGGATACATTTGTCGCAATAACATGCATGTTGTCCAGATGCTAGCCTGGTATACTGCCCTCCTATTCGGGATTAACGTTACTGCCCGGACAAAAGTACCAAATTTTGCATGGAGTTTCTTTTCGACCTATCTATTGAATTTGTCCGTGGAACCGACTTCACTCAGAATCCAAATTAATATGCTCAAATAGATGTGTGGAAAGATGAACAAATGCATCAGTTACTTCTTCATAAGCATTCCATGCCTGCCAGAAAGATTTCTTCTCATAACCTTGAAATGCCGATGTAGTATCACATCCGGACAAGGAGTGGAAAACAGGCAGGGAACGTGATTTACATTCATCCAGATGTGCACAAATGGCGTTGATGCTGTGATGTGTGTAATTCTTTCCAGTTCCAAATACTACCCAGAGATCAAGATCAGTATTTATCTGAGAGAGGTCATAAAACATCCCAATAAGAATAACAACGATGTCCGTGTCTACAGTTCGCACCTGGATGGAATTTGCTCCATGCTTTACGTGAACTACAATTCTAGTGTCTGCTTCTTCCTGATTGCAGCTGGACATTTCGTTCAGCGTGCCAACACATGAAACATGCTCTCCAGCTGTGGTATACACTCAGGAGGGATGCTGAAATCCGCTACTTGTGATGACAGAAATTCAAAGAGTTCCTTCTTGTTGATTGGATCATGGAGGAAGTCATTCAAGTTGCCTGGCAGCTTGGTGTCACTTGATACTTTTCTCCACACACCTTTGCCTCTTTTCTCCCTGGTTCCCTCCTTCTTCAGGCTAGTATTCGTCCCACACAACATCCACTCACTTTGAGTCACAAAGGTGACGTTCTAGATGGGATATAAATACTTTGTTGAGAACAAGGGTAGTGAATTCTTTGAGATCGTATCATGTATGGAGTGACTCCGATCCAGCAACGGGGTTTTCAGTTAGTCCTACTGCACCTTTCTTTGAGATCGTATCATGTATGGAGTGACTCCGATCCAGCAACGGGGTTTTCAGTTAGTCCTACTGCACCACCGGTTGATTTCACTTCTTTATTTTCCTGTTCATGCGCTTGGTCGATTGGGATCGCAGAGTATCTGTGTGACGATTTTGCGATTGTCCAGTGATTCCTAGTTTCAAACTCAACCTTGATCTTTGTTGGCAGCGACTTCATGTCTCTAACGTGTACAGGCAGCCATGGTCTAATGCAAAGAACAATGGTACGAGTGCCTCAAATACAGAACAATACAATGGTATACTTTAAGGACTGAATCAGCAGTTCCAGATGAAGCAACTTCAGATTCAATGAGAGCCGTCGTCCAACTTGACCCATTTAATAAATCGCCAACAGTGTTCCACAGCACCTTCTCAATTTGGAGTCTGCCCATCATAACTACATAGACTTTCTCGCCATAGACATCGGGCCATCTCCATTGTACGTACTTGGCTAGCATGAACAGAGGCTGGTCAAACGTAATCACTGGGATTTGTCCGGGGTTCAGATACTCTGTTGCCCGGCGATGTACATCCATGCCATGTTTAATCATTGCTGGTGTGTATGATTTTTCGTCGAAGAGAGGGAGCAGCCCACATATTGCTTCTACGATGGCTGTTGTCGATTGGCGTGAAAAGCAGACCATCGCTGATATGTTGTTCCATCCAGTCATTTTCTTTACGTTTTGCATCTGTCAGCTCAAGCTTAACAGGTTCATTATTATTAGTTTCTGGTACCTGAATACAACTATACTTCAACGAAACTGCAGGAACAGAAGCATAATGGTCTGGAAGCGAGTGAGTATGACCCCTTTCTGGCAGTAATTTGACAGGTTCCCTGATGACACCAGGATGCCAGTAAGAATGTAGTCCTGGAAAGATACAATCGTCCCAGTTTTATCTTCTAGTTTCCGTATCTCCTTTCTTGTTGATTTATCCAATTCTGCCTTTCGAAACATTCCGAGATTTTCAATGAGGTGATTTCATTTTGTTTTGATGGTTCTAATTCTGGTTTTAGAATAGCTGATCGTAGTAGTTTTCATTTTAGCTTTACTTTCTTCCCACCAAGTGGTTTGGTCTTCATAGTTGGGTTTGTTACCCTTCCAATCGGACCAAAACGTCTGGATGAGATTACGGTACTCAATGTCCTCAAGAATGGAATTATTCAGTTATCATTTCCCTCTCCCCCATCGTGCAGACCCAAGGTTAAGGGTGAGTTTAACCGCTTTGTGGTAGGAGAATGATGAGTTGAGTTAATGTCTTGAATTTTGTTGGAGTAGTGACAAGAGAGGTAGATACGGTCTATCCAGGTGCCAGAAGGATTATTATTTGGTTCTGGGGTATTAAAATATATAGCTGTCCTCTACTACACAATTGGTTTGTATCAGATGCAGCTGACTCAGTGCAGTAAGTGGTTGATTTATCATGATATTATTTTTGCTATCAATTGTATATTTAATGAGGTTGAAATCACCGCATATTACAAATATTGCTTGTCAGGCAAGGTAACATATGCCTACTACCAGCTGTCAGAAATGATAACAAAATATTAAGTGGCTTAATAATGAATTTCAAAATTATCTTAAAATTATCTATAAAGTCAAGGCAAAAACCTGAAACAGTTCATCAACTTAACTAATTCAAACACGAACAATAACTATAACTCCAATTGTTGTCGATTTTAAACTTGACTGGGATCACATACATGCATACCAAGTTTCATCAAAATCGGATAAAAACTGTAGCCTCTATAGTGATAACATTGTGGTCTGAACTTACCTTAATAAGGAGTTACTTCCCTTCTACAAAATTGTTACTTGCTAGACTTCCTGTATATATACTTCCTGTAGTTTTACATGTGTGATGAATAAATCTTAGTTTAAGACAACGTGTCTATGTTAATATATTGGACAGGGTCCTATAATGACTTATTAAATGGTAGCAGAGCAATAGCAACTAGTTACAAGAATCCTCCCAAGTTTGGGGAAGATATTTCTTATGAAACCTGGAAAAATGAGCTTGAAGTGTGGAGACTAATGACTGATATAGATGTCAAGAAACAAGCACTGGCAGTGACTTTAACAATATATGGTAAAGCCAGGGAAAAGGCAATAGAAATAGCTGCTGCAGATCTGAATAAAGATGATGGAATGAAAACTCTAATAGACAAATTGGATGAATTATTCCAAAAAGACGAAAAAGATGCTGCCTATGAGGCTTATTCCAACTTTGATAACTTTAAAAAGACAGGTGAAATCTCTATGAGTGAATATGTCAATGAGTTTGAGCAGAAATATCAAAAAGCTAAAAAGTATGACATGACAATATCAATCTGTCAAATACTGAGAGAAAATTGGCCCTGACTGCCACTGTTGATGGGACTTTAAAGTCTATGAAGTCAGCCCTGAAGAGAATATTTACAGATTCCGCAAGCCAACCAATTGAAGATAAAAGTACAGGAATATCAGTTAAAGAAGAATCGGCTTTATATACCGGACAGAAATACAAAAAGTAGCCTTATCAACGATCAAAGACATCTACTTCACATTTCAAAGAAACTGATCGTAGATCTGGAACAGAGGGTATGGCTGTGTCTGGTGCATCAAAGGGAACAAATCCTATGAAGAACTACATGTGCCATTTGTAATTCAACTTTTCACTGGGCTAAGGATTGTCCACACAGAGTTTCCAATAAGTAATATGACTTTGTTTACAAAATCAGGCGAACTTTCAAAGAATGAAGTTTTTATGACTGAGTGTTTTGGGTGTGCTGTTTTGGATACAGCTTGTTCCAAGACAGTATGTGGTATGAAATGGGTAGATAATTATATTGATTCTTTACCAACAAAAGACAAAGGAAAAGTCAAGAAGAAGAATAGTAATAAAGAGTTTAATTTTGGTGATGGTGTTAGTAAACAGTCTATGAAATATGTAAATATTCCTGTGAAAATTGCTGGAGTTTATTGTAATATAGACACTGAAGTAGTTGAGGCAGACATTCCTTTATTGCTTAGTAAAGAATCACTGAAACGAGCCAATACTGTTCTTGACTTAGCTCATGATAAAGCATCAATGTTTAAACGCCCAGTACAACTACAATTTACTTCAAGTGTACATTATTGTATTGATTTAACAGATGAAATCCAGGGTGTATCTGATGAAACTCCAGAAGATATTATGATTTTTGAAGAAAATTTGTTGGAGAAAGAAAAAATTTAAAGTTCAAAAACTGTAAGGAAGAATCAGCAGGCTGTTTATTGTGTTGTTTGTAAGAGTTGGACTCTGTCAAGTGTGATTTGAACATGACAGCAAAGGAACACATGAAATTGGTTGAAAGTAGAGCTGAGTTCTCATACACCTGTAAGAATTGTACACCTTTTGACATTTTCAATTTGGTTGAAATGCAATGGATAGGCTACAGCATTTATGCAAATTTTTATATCTTATAATAACTGTGACAAAGTTTGAATTGGACAATGGATATAATATAACTGCATCTGAACCTTTACAAATCAGTAGATAATTAGTTTAATCAGTGGCAGGTAGAAATTAGAAAGTTCATATGAAGTTCATCTAAACACCATTTGATTGATAATAACAATATATCATTAAAAAGATAAAGATTAGAAAATGAAATAGAGATTTACGTCCTACTTTTTTTCTGCACGTCAGCCCCTCTTACCTGCATCACTGACCGGGGAAACATTTACTTTATGACTACAATGTTTTCAGAATTGAATTTTGATAATCATTTTCCTATGAATTCAAATACCAACAACAAAATACTAGTGAGAGTCTTAGATTGTCTTTGGGTTGATGAAAATGTTAACCACTGAAAAAAATATTGATTGTAAAAATAGCTTGCCAGGCAAGGTAATATACGCCCACTGGCAGCTTTGATTTTGAATAAAAATATTTAGCAGTACAGTAACAATCACTTAATAATAAAACCAAGTTTTGTCAAAATCCAGCAAGAATCATGCCTTTTAGTTTTTAAGAGCTAAATTTGAAAGCGTTTTCAAGAACAAGGGCAATAACTCATACTAAATATTTTTCAATTCTTCTGATTTTCAATAGGGTTCATCCTTGAGTGATTACAAACTCTCATACCAAGTTTTGTCAAAATCCATCAATTGTGTTTAAGAGCAATTGTGGATGTACGGACGGACATGGGTGACGGCAATGTGGGCAACATGTTTCAAGAGCACAAAGGCTTCCTTCCATCATTACATACTTGTTATGTTGTATCTAAGATTTTGATGTCATAAATCTTCTGAGGTCATGTTATCAAGAATCAAATTGCCTCCCACCATTTTGTGATTTGACCCTTCTCTTGTTATGTGGTTTCTAAGATTGTGACGTCATAAACCTTATGAGGTCATATTGTAATTTTAATCTTAACTGCCTTCCACCATTTGTAGTTTGTTTCTTCCCCTGATGAAGTCAAAACTTTTTTGACGAAACGTTGGGTATTAAAGGATGGTATTTGATGTCAAGTTTTATTATTTGTTACACCAAGTTCAGTATACATCAAATGAATCGTTGTACTAATGGTGGTATTGGTGATCAAAAAGTCTTCTGTGATTGGTTATTCCTGCCTGTTTTTTCTTTTTGGAATCACCACATTAATGTGTGGGCGTATAAAAACTGCACCCTGTATCATGACTACAAGCCAAATTTTTAGGTTTTTACTAAATCAAGGGCAATAACTCTAAAACCGTTCATCTGATTATGACCAAATTCAAACTTGACCGATATCTCATTGTGCTCACAAACAAACTTTGACACGTTTTAACAAAGTCAAGGGCAATAACGTGTTTTTTTCTAGAAGGCAAATATTCATTCTTCAGCTTGGTACTGAATAATAAAACCAAGTTTTGTCAAAATCCGCCAAGAATCGTGCCTTTTAGTGTTTAAGAGCTAAAATTTGAAAGCAATTTGAAAGAACGAGGTCAATAACTCCTATGAAACATTTTTCGATTTTTTTTATTTTTGATAGGGTTCATCCTTGGGTGATTACAAACACTCACACCAATTTTTGCCAAAATCTGTCTAGAATTGTGTCTTGTAGAGTGTTTACGAGCAATTGTGGACGGACAGACCGACGGACATGGTGACGGCAATATACGCCCCCCTTTCATGTGGCAGTATAAATATACAAACGGAAGTTGGGTCTAATTTTAATTAGACTGACTATAATGTTTGTAAGACATATAAAGTAGGAAGGTTATGTAAGGTAGCTTGCGAGGCGACGTAACATACGCCCACTGACAGAAGTCAGAAATGATAAAACAGTCTTTAGTGACCGTTCATCGAAAATGCGTCAAGTTAGAACTTGTCCGAGATCTCATCAATTCCAATAATCACACCAAGTTTCATCAAAATCGGTTGAAAACTGTAGCTTCAATCCTGCTCACGAACTATTTTTAACAAATCTTGATGCGTTTTAACAAAGTCAAGGGCAATATCTCAAAACCATTCAATAAAATATGTCAAATTTGAACTTGACCGAGATATTATCAATCTAAAGCATCACAAGTTTTATCAAAATCAGATAAAACTGTAGTCTCTATAGTGCTCACAAGAAATGTTGACGGACGGACCGACAGTCACATATTA